GACATCCCACAGCGGTTCATGAAGCCCGGGTCAAGTTCATGCTCCTCAGACCCTGGCTTCTCCCGCTTCGCTCACTTCCTCACCAGTGACTCTAAGAAACCGCCTCATTGCTGCCGTGCGCTCCACGCCCACCTCTAATTACTCCTCCGCGGTGACCGGTGAAGCATTTCGTCTTATCACCGGCGGGTGCGTGGGTCTGTGATAACGCGTTCTCATTTATGCGCCCCTTCCCGTTAGAGCGCGCGCGTGCGTGCGTGCGTGCGTGTGTGTGTGTGTGTGTGTGTGTGCGCGCGCGCGCTAAGCTTAGCCAAGCAACCGCAGTGACAATGCCGGCTGAAAGACAGCAATTACCGAGGCCTTTAGAAAGACATAATGACATCCTAGATGATCATTCATCTCCTCACATAAACTTACTGGGGCAATAAAAATTTCCCAAGAATGACTTTTTAAACTTCCACGATAATATTCAGAGCAGAACAGGCAATGCATTAATTTTACTTCATGGGAATGACTTCAAGACGGAAGCTGTAGAGAAGCGCTAAGTGCTTCCAAACAGATAACCAGGTAAGCCAGGTCTCAGGGATTCATGTCTTTCCCTCGCCACACACAAATCTCCCCGAAACAGCACAACACAGGGAAATGAAGCAGATGACCCGGCAATGGGAACTCAGGGCCCCCCTAACCCAGGGACAGCCATCGGTGTCAGGTTCAAACTCCCAAGCACTGACTCAAGGGTGCCCGCCAACACTGCTAATTGTGATCACACAAGTGTGTGCACACACATATATGTAGGAATATATATATAAATACAGGACCCTCCATGCTGAAATACGACTGCAAGGGAAAGAATGGCATATGTGGTATACAGCCAATTATAAATACTTCCTCAGATCAAGCAGTGCGTTCAAACCAGAGAACCAGAGAATGTGTAACAGGAGATGCTTTAGAGGTATGGAAATCTCGTCAGGTGCTCTGTGGAAGAATAGGCAAAGATGCATATTCTACTGGGCAGAAAGTCTGTCATCCTGGTTTCTGAATAAATCCTAGCTCCCCATTGAGCTGCAGGTCAGCTAAGCACCCAGAAATCTGAGCCGAGGCCGGGGAGGCGACCTGCCCACTGGAGACAATGTGGTTTGACCAAGCCAGCCTGGCCAGCACCGCCGGGGCTCAGACTGGAAAACAGCGGAGAATGACAGAAAGGGAACAAATCAGACACCAGGAAGACACGGTCTGAGAGAGAAGTGGGAACAGGGGAAGGTCTCAGAATTATTTTGGTTCTTCTTCTTTCTTTTTAATGTGTTTTTATTGGTTTTTAGAGAGAGAGAGGAAAGGAGAGGAAAGCTCAGACATGTGATGACTGGTGGCACTAGGGCACTGACTTCAAGGGAGACAGAAACATCCATGGCAGAGAAATGCCAACACCGACTGGCTGCCTCGTGCCCGCCCCCTACTAGGGATCGAGCCTGCAATCCGGGTATGTGCCCTGAGTGGGAATCAAACCGTGACCTCCTGGTTCATAGGCCCACACGCAACCCCTGAACCACGCTGACCAGGATGCTTTGGTCCTTGATGGCTTCCCGATGTCAAATACCAGCCCACTTGCGTCTCTACTGTGAATTCCCTAATGTGCACACACGTCTGTCCTAGCTCCATGGTGCTTTGGGTACAGTCAGCACACCTCCTGTGTCCTCCCTACTTTGGACGCCATTTGAAAAAGGTACCGAGTCTCCATATGACCATCTGCGCTCCCTCTAGATCAGCGGTTCTCAACCTGTGGGTCGCGACCCCTTTGGGGGTTGAACGACCCTTTCACAGGGGTCGCCTAAGACCATTGCAAAACACATATATAATTACATATTGTTTTTGTGATTAATCACTATGCTTTAATTATGTTCAATTTGTAACAATGAAAATACATCCTGCATATCAGATATTTACATTACGATTCATAACAGTAGCAAAATTACAGTGATGAAGTAGCAACGAAATAATTTTATGGGTGGGGGTCACCACAACATGAGGAACTGTATTAAAGGGTCGCGGCATTAGGAAGGTTGAGAACCACTGCTCTACACGAAAGCTGGCCTTTGGTTAAGATTTGTCTGTCATATAAACCTGTTCCCTTTTCCCACCATCCACTGCTGTGGCTTGTCTAACCCTACACCTCTACTGACAAGCACTGACACCTGACACAGGCTGCCGTGGCCGCCTCGGGGATGAATTCAGGAGATTTTATCTGCTATAAACCCTCCAGTCTGCAAGAGGTGATATTGCTCGTTTTGTCTGTATTTTTAATTTTATTTTTCAGTTGACATTCAATATTATTTTCTATTGGTTTCAGGTGTGCAGCGTAGACAGTCATGTATTTACAAAGTGCCCCCCTCCCCGATATTTCCAGTACCTGCCTGGCCCCATACACAGTGATTCCGATAGATTGACTGTATTCCCTGTGCTGCACTTTCCACCCCCACAGAGCACAGGGGGAGGGAGAGCGGAGAGCAAGAGCGAGGTTGAGATGGAAAGTATTAAGAAAAATGCCCACTTTCCCACTGTCAATGAAGCATGAAGGAAGCCCAACAGCTCGAGAGTGAAACTGGCCCAAAGCAATCAGTGCCTTAAACTCTGAAGCAGACCTAACACTAAAGGGCAAACAACGACCCCCGCCCTGGTGGACTGGCAGAGCCAGACACGCGGTGATGGTGGCACCAGGGCACCGGCCTCAAGGCAGACACAGCCCTGGGTGGCTACTCCTTAGCACTTCAGACAAACACTGGGTTGTTCCTGGGAAGTTCAAGTCCAGAAAGCAACACCGTTTTAAAAAGAAACAGAGCAAGATCTCAACAGGGAAGTGAGACAATGTCTGGGGTTTTATGAAGAAGGAAAAATGAAAGCATCTAAAAGGAAACAGAAATGGCGCATGTTCCCAGGAGCATAAAACGATTACGAACATTTTAATTGGAAAATCAACCAATTTGCTTCAAAAGCCAGGAGAGAGAAAATAAGGCAACAGATGGAACGTAGCTGTCGGGAACTCCCTGGGGAATGAGAGGAAAGCTCGCCGACAGAGACTTTTGAATGTTCCGACAACCTTTATTGTAGACCCGGTGTCGCAGCTCTGTCACAAGCCTCAGGTGGCACAGGTAACTCATCTGTCTCCCTAAATCTGGAACCCAGAAGCGATAGCACTGTTTTCCACCAGCAACAGAGGACACTCACTGTGGATGGACGGATGGCCCGCTCTCGCCAAGTCCCCGCGAGAAACCCGATGTGTCCACCCTCTCCATTAAGGTACAACATGGGTCTTTGCTCATTGCACCCACTCACTAGCATTCAGCTTTTCTGCACAAGACAACGGGAGGGTCCCAAGTAGGAACATAATTTGCATTTTACTAGGGGAGATAATAGTCATGCAAATGACTTTGGGACAAGGAGCCGGGGAGGTGCAAAGACAGGGCGTGCAAAACTGGGGGTGAAGACCGAGATCTCGTCTGAGGGGGGCGTCTGGAGAGGCCCAGGGGGACCACCATGTGGTCAAGACTTGGAAGACTGGCTGCAGGCCGGGCTGGTGAGCAGGCCAGTCACCTGGACGGACTGAGAGTGGAGACAGTCGTGGGAAGAAGAACTCCAAGCTGCTGGATAATCATTCTACTCCATCGGTCGTCTGTAGGGTAAGTGAAGTGAGTCAACGGGCTCTACGTTGCAGAAGGCCACGTTTGTAAAATAATTGGCAGCCTGACTGAGCAAGGAATCATCGAAAGTCTGCTTTTGGAAAAGTAACCTATGATAATAAAAGCGTAATATGCTAATCAGACCAGACAGTTGAACAACCTTCCGGACAACCTTCCGGAGGAAGCTGGGGGCTGCGAGGGCTGAGCCCCTGGCATGAGTTTCGTGCATCGGGCCTCTAGTGTGATATGAACAGCATGATCTTAAAATTGTATCTGCACAGAAATGCAGGCTACACACCAAAAGAATAACTGTGAGTGGGGACGTTATGGGTGATTTTTCTCCTTTTCTGCTCACCGTTGGTTTGGTTTCTGTAGATTAAACAGGTATCTCGGGTGTGATAATGCTAATGTGTAACAAGCCCGGCCTTGTACATAACGGATTGGGAGCAGTGAGGAGATCAGAGTGCGGAGAATAACTGGTATTAGTTGGTGTGCCCTGCGGGGAGAGAGTGACCTGTCCATGGAAACAAAGGTGCTGACGGTAAAAAACAGAAAAGATGAACTTGGGAGCGATGAGCACCGTGAGCAAGGACACAGACATGGAAGCTGCAGCTCAGGCTCCAGGTCTCTGATGTGTGGAATCACTGCACAGATTGGGGAGCAGGGACAGTGATCAGGGGACTTAGCAGTAATGGGCTCCCCTTTGTACACGCTGAGTTTAAGGCGTTCACAGACTTTCTGAGGGGGAATGCTCAGCAAGCAGTTATAATGGGGCGTTTCACTCGTTCCTCTATCTGCCAAGCACTGTGTTAGGCACAAAAACCCCAACCCGACCTCAGGAGGTACAGAGTCACGAAGAAGACCACACGGGTAAGAAAGACCCACAGAGAACCGTGCCTAGGGCATTCCACAGTGACCGGAAGCGGCAGCACCAGGGAGCCAGGGAAGCTTCTGGAAGGAGGAACAACAGGCACTAGGATCAGCCCTGGCAGGTGGGTGCCCTCCGTGCGCCGGCTGGAGGGGTCTGGAGGGCGGGTCTCTGTCAGTGATAACAGTCAGGATGGTCAAGAGAGAAGAAAGGAAAGAGTGGAGTGAGTGCCTTTCAGCAGAGACCTGCCTGGGGCTCACTCTGTCCTCACAGTAACCTCAAGGCTGCGCGATATATATATATAGCACGTCAGAATGTGCAAACATTTTACTTATTGCAAAGTATCTTAGAGATTTAGACATCATTATAAAACGCTCTCAATGCGATTTTGGTAACCTAAGGTGTCGGTATATAATACCAAACTTCCAATTAAAGAGTTTAATATAAAAATATCAGCACAAAACTGCTTTTTCAATCTGTTTATTGTGTGAGCAACCCAAACTTCAGTTTAAGTGCTGTTGAGAGTTTATTCCTAGATTCCATAACCCTACAATTGATAAATTTCATACCGTTTTAGGTATTTAATGAGATACTTAGAAATACTAAGAAAAAAATCAGTATTCAAAGGATTAATTTTGTTTATAATAACAATAAATTATTTCATCATCTTCTTCAGTTCAAAATCCAGCTTTGAACCCGAGGAAGGCTTTCAAGACCCCGTTAGCGAGATGGTGGTCCTTCAACCGGTCGCGGTCTGGTTACCGATTACGCGAAGGATCTCCTTGTGGATGCCTCCTTCTTGCGTGTTAATATTTGCATCTCCCACTTGGCCATCTTCATAGCTAAGGCACAAAGCAGAAACATGAAACGTGAACAAAGGGGAAACGTCCCAGGAAATTCAGAAAGCATTTCCAACAGCTGAGAAAGGCTGTTTGCTACCGAGAAGACAGCCCAGGGTTAGCAACAGCGAAAGACAGTGAGTTCTCAGCTGTATTCTAATGATGCCTGTGCACAGGGAACCACAGAGGAGCTTGCGCTACTCCACACCCGATTATGCCTCGCCCTCGCCCCTTCCTTCCTGTGACGTTTTAACTTCAATCCCCCACAAAGCCCGCCTGAGCTGCAGGGAGCTCTCTGAGCAGACATCCCACAGCGGTTCATGAAGCCCGGGTCAAGTTCATGCTCCTCAGACCCTGGCTTCTCCCGCTTCGCTCACTTCCTCACCAGTGACTCTAAGAAACCGCCTCATTGCTGCCGTGCGCTCCACGCCCACCTCTAATTACTCCTCCGCGGTGACCGGTGAAGCATTTCGTCTTATCACCGGCGGGTGCGTGGGTCTGTGATAACGCGTTCTCATTTATGCGCCCCTTCCCGTTAGAGCGCGCGCGCGTGCGTGTGTGTGTGTGTGCGCGCGCGCGCGCGCGCGCG